GCTTCCGGGCTGCTGTCACAAGAACTACGTTCTCGAACATCGTCTTCTCCGTGTTGTCGTGACAGTGGCGGTGGCGTGACACAGTGGACGGATTGGACAGCCATTTGAAGAGATGATTCACACGGAAACTATACAACAAGAAAATCACGTCAACGTACGACGAGGTCAGGAAAATAAACAAGAGGGAGCAAACTCACATTTCAAATATTTATCACAAAACAGTGCAACAACAACATTTTGAATCCCTGTCGTTTTGTCGGACCCTGATGTGAGGCTCAAGTGTTATCTCAAGTCCGACTCCTCACCCACTCGTTCAGTGTGCAAGTGGTTTGGATATGTCCGAGTAAACTCGCACTTTTTCAGGCGAGAATACAAATGCGAGCTGATTTGGACTTATTCAACGTACAGTAAGAAATCAAGTTCATGGTCGGAACAAGACCGAACACAAGTGCGAGTCGATTCGGTATTATCCACTAAACAGCGAGAAATTTCAAGTGCCAAAAAATTTGCACTTCAGAGGAACATTTCGTTTACGCCGTGCAATAAGAAATTGGCTTCATGGTTGGTTCAGTGCCGAGTTAACTCGCAAATACAAAACGACTTCATTCTTTTGGGCTGAGAAGAGACGCGAATTATCGACTAAAGAGGAACAAATTTAGGGGGATGGATGGTTGAAGAGCGAATAAATTCGCACTCGCAAACGAGCATTTCCATTATGAAACTGGGGCTTGTGGACTAAAGAGTCAAAAATTTGGGGGGATGGTTGGTTGAAGAGCGAATAAATTCGCACTTGCAGACGAACACTTCCACTATGAAAGTGGGACTTTTGGACTGTAGAGTAAGAAATTTAGGGGGATGGTTTATTGAAGAGCGAATAAATTCGCACTTGCAAACGGACATTTTCATTACGAAACTGGGGGTACAAGTGCGAGTTAATTCTGACCTATGAACTAAACAGGGACAAATTAAGGGGTTGGTTGGTTCAAGAGCGAATGAATTCGCACTTGTAAACGAGCATTTCCATTACGAAACTGCGGGTACAAGTGCAAGTTGTTTCCGGCTTGTTCTGCGTGTAGTACGAGCCACAGATCGTCGCAAGAAAAAAATAGGGAAAAATGGCGTGCTATTTTTTAAGATGGAGAAAGATTGCGAAGCGATGGGCAGACGGCGCATCGATGAAAATACATGGAGAGAGATGGCGCACCGAATGAGAGAGATGGCGCACCAAGAGAGATGGATGGAGTCACAGTCTTCCCCCGAATACAACGTCCGGTCATTACAGCTGAATTCGGGTAATTTTTCAGTCTAAAAACAACTGTAATGAAAGTGTGTTGTATATTCCGGGGAAGAAGGTGGATGGCGCAGGAAGGGAAAGAGATCGCGGACTGATTGGGAGGTGTGTCGCAAAGAGAGAGAGAGAGAGAGAGAGAGAGAGAGAGAGAGAGAGAGAGAGAGAGAGAGAGAGAGAGAGAGNGAGAGAGAGAGAGAGAGAGAGAGAGAGAGAGAGAGAGAGAGAGAGAGAGAGAGAGATTGCGCACCGATGGAGAAACATGGCGCAACAATGGAGATAGCAGGTGCAGCAATGGAGAAAGATGGCGCACCGACGCAGATAAATGACGATGGAGATAGATTGGGAAAGATACTGCATCAATGGAGATAGATGACGAAGGAGATAAATTAGGAAAGATAGCGCACCGAAGGAGATGGATAACGAAGGAGATAGATTAGGAAAGATACCGCAGCGATGGGGATAGATGATGAAAGGTCGGTAGAGATCGCACATCGGTGGAGAGACATGGAGAGAGGACACGCAACAATGGTTAGCGATGCCGCAGCGATGGAGAGAGAAGGCACAGCGATGGCCAAGATTTGTTATTGCACAACATCAGTTCCATCGAGTTAAACCTTCGTAAAGCATACCTGTCACCTATTTCGTGCGATTGCACAGTGATGGGCGGCTGCACCGACGACAGCCTGAAACAACAATACAATGGCGATGGCGGGATCGCGCACGAGTAATGGAGAGCCTCTGGGGCAAGGATGGAGGTTGCCCGGTTGCCGAGAGAAATCGCGCAGTGATGAAGTGAGATGGAGAGTGATCACTCAGCGATGAAGGGAGATCGTGCGGCGATGGAGAGAGAAACCGCGCAGCGCTGCGGTGGAGAGCGATGGCACGGCGATGGAACGCGTTACAATGCAGCGATAGCGATAGCGATGGCAGCGATGGAACAACGATAGCGATTGCGCAGCGATGGCGCACCGGTGGAGAGCGATGGCGCAGCGGTGGAGAGCGATGGCGCAGTGATGGAACAGCGATAGCGATGGCAGCGATAGCGATGGCGCACCGATTGAGAGATGGCGCAGCGATGGAACCAACGTTGCGATGGCAGCTATGGTACCAGCGTTGTGATGGCCAGCGCGAGAGCGATGGCGATTGTCAGCGCTGCGATGGTCAGGCGAGCGCGATGGCTGCGATGAGGGATATAGCTTTGCGTCGTGATGGCTATGAGCTAAGCGCATCAATGGCGATGGTGCATGGCGAGCGTTGGCGATGGCGATGAGCTAAGCGCATCGATAACGATGGTGCATGGCTAAGCGCATTGATATCGAACGTCGTTGACATTTGCAAAATGTCCGAATGACAGCGACACGGGAACTTATAGATTTTCGGTGTTTTTGACCTCGGCGCACAACGAATCGCCGCGCCTCAGCGGGAAATAAACCGTCGTCTGGCCTCGGCGCGCAACGAACAACCTCGGCGCACAACAAATCGCCGCACCTTATAGATTCTTGCGCCTGACCTCATGCGGCGGATCATGTCGATCGACGGTCCAGATTACAACTGCGAAAATGACATTGTCTGCCCCTTGTTTTCGGGAACTGTCACATCATTGCACGCCGGAGTAGACAGAGATTTTGGGGCCACTGGCATAACAGTGGCTACGTTCATCTGCGCGGTTGAAAATTGTTGATCGACGACTGACAATTTTCGGTACCCCTTACCGTTTATAGGCCCTGGCGTTTTATGGGCCCAGGGGTGCGATATGCGAATCGATTCGGCCCCACCTTGATGGCGTTTTATGGGCCCCGGGGTGCGATATGTGAATCGATTCGGCCCCACCTTGATCCCGACGTGAGACCTGCTGCAACAAAGTATAAAAGGCGTTGCAGCCCTCGAGTTATCCCTTTTGTTGGCGCTCCACAGATCAAGTCACGCTATCGCTTCCACGCGCGTTCTGATATCTGGTCTTCAGCCCCCACCACCTTCCGCCATAGCCCGCTCACTCTTCGCTCTTCACTCCGTCCGCAGTTGCGACATTGTGTTCGGTTCGCTCTTCGCTCCTCGGTCTTCGCTCTTCCTAGCTCGATATCCCTCCACCATAGCTGGTTCGGTGGTTGGTTGCTCGCCCAACGCTCAACGCACGACGAAGGTAAAATCAACGTCCGACGTCCGAACACATTCCCAGATGCCCTGTCTGTACCTGCAGGATATAACGCCGCAGCCGCGTTCTGTTGAACCCCAAATCAATTCCCGGTTTTGTTGTTTCGCCAGTGAACGTGCTCTGATCTCTTTTCTCCACCCTCCACCTCCGTCCGCCATAGCCGATCCGTGTTCCGCAGCTCGATTACCTTTCGCCATAGCCACGATAACGTTCGTATAAAGCTGCTCGATCCCCTTCGCAAGTTGCAGTCGTCGCTGCGCATGGCGAACCCCGAATCAATACCTAGTTGCTACACTGAACACTGAATCAATTCCCGATTTTCGCTCACCTGTCCCTTGTGAGGTCGCCGACCTGATATCTACATATATATATATAACGATATAGATACATATATGTATATATAGAGATATATTGCTACACTGAACACCGAATCAATTCCCGATTTTCGCTCACCTGTCCCTTGTGAGGTCGC